CTTGCAGACTTAACCCCTGGGTCATAACTTTGAAACGGTTGAAATCCCCACCCCAAAACTATATATACAAATGCTGGGCAAAAAGAGACAAATGCAGTCATGATATTAGAATTGATCCTGGGGTCTGGCCACAACCGTAGGGACCTAGTTTCTGCGTCACAGCTTGGAAACAGTTGAGATCCCCACCCCATAACCATACATAAAATTGCTGGGCATGAAAAATTGAATACAGATATATATGCTACAAGGATTGGCCTTGGGGTCTGGCATATTCCCTTGGATCTCATTTGGAGAATATTCTGCCATGATTGCTTAGATATCAAGGTGAGCGATACAGGCCCTATGGGCCTCTTGTTGTAGTTCATGTTCATGTTTCCTTCTGATAGCTTAACACGGGATGTAACAGCTGTTTGTCTGGTTGGGCATTGTATGTTGGAGTGGTAGGCGACATGGCCTAAATGAAAAGGTCAGAACCGTTGCGAGATGAAACAAGAGGCCTAGGGGGCTTGTATCGCTCACCTGGATATCAAAGGAATCATGGCAAAATATTCTCCAAATAAGATCCAAGGAAATGGGCCAGAACTCAAGGCCAATCCTTGTAGCATATCCGTATTAAATTTTTCATGCCCAGCAATTTTATGTATGGTTATGGGGTGGGGCTCTCAACTGTTTCCAAGCTGTGACTCAGAAACTAGGTCCCTAGGGATGTGGCCAGACCCCAGGATCAATTATAATATCATGACTGCATTCGTCTCTTTATGTCCAGCATTTGTATATACAGTTTTGGGGGTAGGGATATCAACCGTTTCAAAGTTATGACCCAGGAACTATGTCCCAAAGGATGGGGCCAAACCCCAAGGCCATCCTGGAAGCATATGTGCATTCTTCTCTTTATACTCAGCAATTGTATATATGCTTTTAGGCAGGGGCTCTCAACCATTTCCAAGTAATAAACTATTTTTTTGGCCCCACCCTTCAGTCCAGGGGGTCATCCCCACCATATGTACAATTTGAATCCCTTCCTCCCATGAATGCTTCTAAGCAAATATGATTGATATCCAGTGCATGGTTCAGCCCCCTGGAGGGTCAGCCCCATCATTTGTACAATTTTGAATCCCCACTACCTAGGGATGCATCCAATCAAATATGGTTGATATCAATCTCTTAGTTCAGAGAAGAAGTCGTTTAAAGCAATATAGCCAAAAAACCATTTTTGGCCCCGCCCCTCAGACCCCCTGGGGGGGGTCAGCCCTACAATTTGTACACTTTCAAACCCCTGCCTCCCATGAATGCTTCTGAACAAATATGATCGATATCCGGTGCATAGTTCTACAGAAGAAGTCATTTATAGCAATATAGTCAAATTGACCCCTTTTGGCCCTGCCCCTCAGCCACCTGGAGGGTCAGCCCCACCATTTGTACAATTTGAATCCCCACTTTCTAGGAATGCTTTCAATAAAATATGGTTGATATCCATCTCTTAGTTCCAGAGAAGAAGTCCCTTAAAGCAATATAGCCTAATTGACCCCTTTTGGCCGCGCCCCTCAGCCTTCTGGGGGTCAGCCCCACCATTTGTACAATTTTGAATCCCCACTACCTAAGGATGCTTCCAGTCAAATATGGTTGATGTCCAACTTTAAGTTGCAGAGAAGAAGTAGCTTAAAGCAATATAGCTAAATAACCCTTTTTGGCCCCGCCCCTCAGCCCACTTGGCGATCAGCCCCACCATTTGTACAATTTGTAATCCTTGCTTCCAATGAATGCTTCCAACCAAATATGATTGATATCCGTTGCACAGTTCTACAGAAGAAGTCGTTTATAGCAATATAGCCAAATTGCTCCCTTTTGGCCCCACCCCTCATATCCCTGGGGGTTAGCCCCACCATTTGTACAAGGGGTGCTTCCAGCCAACTTTAGTTAAATTCCAATCAGTGGTTAAGAAGAAGAAGTCGTTTGAAGAAATTGTTGACGTACGAACGACGGACGAGCTCATCCTGGTCCTTCGGACCAGGTGAGTTAAAACACACGTGTGATCTACATTCTTTTGCTATACTGACAACTCGGCGTTAGTTTTCAAACAGAGGAGAAAACTGTCATTTTAATGAAAGTATTATTAATTAGTTTTATATTGAATTCTGTTTAATCAATGTATCGATACATACATTTAAAGTTACCGTCCCGCTAACCTTCGCTCTTTATTCTTATCAGCAGAATACAACTGGGATTTAAAAAAAGATATGTACTCTCCGTTAATGCCACACTCAGTGTTAAACATGTCAAAGGTATAAAACAAAAAGAAATTATATTTGGTTTTCTTATGTGCCGTTAAGAATTCGATGATTTACTTAATGTCGCGCATGTCCCAATGGGCCCCTTTAAAATAACGATATTTCTTGTCAAAGTTTGGCACGCATATTCTGCTATAACGATCATTTTCTTGTTAATACTATTTCTTAAAGGCCGGCTAGATGTGGGCCCCTACCATAGTCAAGCGTGTTATTGAAGGAGGGGGAGCTTGCAGCTT